CCCATCTTCTTCAAAATTCCTTCCAAAAATCCCCACAAGGAAGAAACACTCTGAAAAGCTTTTTTGGAGGGGGATGGAGACAATGTCCTCCATGTCCTTCTTCAGTTAGGACAGTGACCTAAAAGAGAAATAAAATAAAACATAGGAAAATGTCCTGCTGCAGGGAACAGCTGCTTCCAGTAATCCCCCAAGGTCTGGGAATTGCCCTTGTAAAGAGATTATTGCTCATCCTTTGACATCCAGAGCCATTCCCCACCTCAGCAGCCCTGCTTTCGTTCTGCCCATTATCCTAAATCCCATTTTTTAAAGAGAAATGGGATTATTTTCTGAGAGTTCATCATTATTAACTGAATTGAATGATTTAAAGGACAGAAGACACCAAGAGATTTCTGGTCCCTTGGTATTAGACAGGAGCAGTGACTGGAATTTGCTGGTTTCCCCAGGAATTCTTTTTCCTTTGGGATCACAAATTCCTACTGGTGTGTTTGCAGCAATTTATTCCTTAGGGAACTACTGCTGATAGAAAAGTTCTGATGGAAATTCTGCATTTTCTGCACAATTCCTGTGGATTTCTCCTCACCTGGATGTGACAACCCAAATTTGAAGGAGCTTTTCTCTCAAACTTTCCCATTTTGAATTTCTTTCTTTTGTGTTTTACTCTTTTTGCTTCATTTCCACCCAAGCTCAATCTCCAAATACCTTTACCCCAATTTGAAGGAGCTTTTTCCTCAGACTTTCCCATTATGAATTTCTTTCTTTTGCGTTTTTTGTTTCATTTCACCCAAGCCCAATCTCCAAAGACCTTTATCTTTTTCCTTTTATGATTTGGATTACAATGATTTTTATTTTTTCCAGCATTTCAGCCTAAATTTAGAGATCCTGATGCCAAAATTAGGAGTAATTTTCTCTTTGCTATTGAATCATCTGGGGCTGCAACACCAAATAATTTATATTTTTTTAATCCTTCCTAATTTTTCTGTGAAAAACCACTTTTCTGAGCAGTCTAGACTTAGATTTAGAACCAGTTTTAAGTCTAGAATTGTCATTATGCTTTGTGTTGGCATCAAATATTGGGCAAGGAGCATCTCTGTGATCTGGGCTTGGTCAGAGGGGATCCAGCCCATGGAAATTTCACAACAGAAAATGTTCCAAGATGTAAAAAAATGGGATTTTCCAAATGGTTTCAGCTCTGCTTCACAAGAAATCTGTGAGGATACCCCAGGGCTGTGTTTTGAGGGAAGTGTTCAGGTCCCAGAGTCCACAGGGGAGTGTTCCAGGGGAGGATCTCCCATTTGGGATCAGGTTCTCCTGGAGCCTCCTCTTGTCCAGCCTGAATATCCCTATGGGGCTTTTCCAGTTCCTTGTGGGTGTAAATCTTCACCACACCAGCAGCAGAGAGGGACAGAGAGTGAAAAGGGAGGGCTGAGAAATTGCCAGTGGGGGAAAAGTGGAAAAAATAGGAAAAAATGACCCAAAAAAAAAAAAAAAAAAAAAAAGAGAAAAAAATAGAAAAAAATATAAAATTTAAAATTATAAGGAGTGACTCCACGAGTGAATGTGACCCTTCCCAAACTCTCTGAACTCTTTCCCCAAAGGCTTTTCCTGCCCTCCCCTCCCTTCCAGCCTCCTGCTCCTGCCCTGGGAGCCACTGGCCTTATATTGGGTCCCAAATTGGAAGATGAGGAAGATGACGGCTGACGTCTCCATGAGGTCACCACGTCCAGCCCCGGGGACAACCCTGGGACAGCCCCAGGAGCTGGCAGGGAGGAGCAGGGTGGGGTGAGGGGTCAGACCAATGTGGACTTTCCTGGGAAAAGTCCCTCTGGAAAAAGGAGTCAGACTCTGAGTCAAAAGGGAGGATTTTGCTGTTCTGGGCTGATTTTCCTTTGGCTTTTCATATATATTTATTTTTTTTTAATAAAAAGCTCTGGGAGGGGGTGAGGAAGAGTTGGGATTGTGTGGTAGCCCTGAGGAGCTGAAGGGATGCTCCTCTGCTCTTATCTTCAGCCACATTATCAAGGCAGAGAACAAAGGAAAAAATAATAAAAAAAAAATTTAACTTTTGTCCTAAGGAGCAAGTAAACCAGGAAATTAATTCATGAATAGAATCTGGGAATGTCCTGAGTGGCAAGGGACCCACAAAGATCATCCAGTCCAAGCTCTGTCCCTGCACAGACCCCCTCAAATATTCCACCCTGGGCATCCCTGGAAGTGTTGTCCAAACATTCCTGGAGCTCTGGGGAAGAGAAGGATGTGTGGAGACCTCAGAGCACCTTCCAGGGGCTGACGGGAAGGTCAAGGAGGCCAGAGAGGGACTCTGCATCAGGAACTGGAGTGCCAAAAAAAAGGGAGATGGCTTCCAACTGACAGAGAGTGGGTTTGGATGGGATATTGGGAAGAAATTCCTCCCTGTGAGGGTGAGGAGGTTTTGAGTTTTGTTTCTGAGTTTTCCCAGGGGAGCTGTGACTGCCCCTGGATCCCTGGCAGTGCCCAAGGCCAGGTTGGACACTGGGGCAGCGGGAGGTGTCCCTGCCATGGCAGGGGTGGCACTGGGTGGGATTTGAGGTCCCTCCCAGCCCAAACCAGTCTGGGATTCTCTGAAGTCTCAGCACAGGGGCACCTGAGCTGATCCTGCAGCAGGAATTCTGTGGAACGAGGCTGTTGGGAAGAGCTCCTGGCCTCACAGAGCTTTCAGGCAAAGCCGGAGCTGCCCCCGGTGTCACCTACAAGGAGCTGAGCGTGGGGGCGAAGTCAGCGAGGA